AATTATCTTCTAGAAATTGAAATTTGCGTACTTGTTGCAAGTTAATCATGCGGAAATTTGGAATTGGAGAATTAGGGCTGCCCCAATAACAGTAATTTTCCTTTTCAGGGCATGATATGTTTATGTCCATCTGGCTGAGTTTTTCATCTATCTTTTGTTTCCAAAGAATATGGTCTTTCACGATTAATGTTTTCTGGGGACAATGGAGTTGACCACAGAAGACTTGAAGACACTTGTACTTTACTCCAACTTATTCTTCAGTACTATTTAGGCAAACTAAAGTATACAGAAGAAAGAAAAATAAAGACAAAGACAGTGAAGGATGGAAACAGTATATTCAGAAATATACCCTTCTCCTTCAAGACCAGACTAGTTTAGATGCCCAATTATCCTTTGTTTTCAGTGCATGAAACCCTTTTTGATTCTCTTTGGGATGTGCAGGATAATGGATGGTAAGGCAACATCACTGCTGCTTATTTCTTTACACTCAGGCAGCAGTCATATTGTTCTCATTGGTAAAGAGAGGAAAATCAACTATGTCGTACTTGAAATCTAATCCCCTTAGCTTATACCTGTAATAGTTCTTTAATAAATGGAGGAGGTGCTTTTACCACTCACTGTTACATTCCAAAATGCATATATACTCAGATGAATTTTTCTTATGTGTACGTGCTTATCCATTTAGCTACTAGTAAAACCAGCAAATGGTGTTTTGACAACAGCAGCAGCTGGAGTGTTTTTTTTCCCTTAGCTGTTATGATGGCTATAACTGTGGTACCTTGGAAACTCAATGTGAAGTTAATTTCTGTTGTTCCAGACATGTTATGGACTAGTAATAAGAAAAAAGCAGATTCTCACCACCTTTGATCTCTTGCAGTCTACTTTTAAGGCTGAATCCGATGAATAGATAAAGCAGACATGTGGGTTTGGGAAGACAAAAGTGTAAACCAGCTGCATAAATTAAAATCAAAGAACTCAGTTCACTGATCCTGTTGTCATGTTACTTTCCTTGTCTCTAGTGGATATTAGTAATGTATTTTCCATTGCTGTTGGCAAAAAAAAAAAAAAAAAAAAAAAAAAAAATTGACACTATAACAGACATCAACTAGTCTTTATCTAATATTCTGGATTGTATTACTAATGGTAATCAGAAAGTATGTTCTCATTAACTATGTGCTTCATTTATGTTTCTTGACACACATACCAAATGTAGGTAGTGCATAAATGATTACAAAAAAGCTACAAGTTTTGTAAAGCAAACATTAATTTTGTAGGTTCTATCTAAGATAGAAGTAAATTAAAATGTGGTTAATAGATACCAAGGGTTAAATGTTAAGTGTACACATAAATACTCTGAGATTTTTTTGTGCCGAGTAATTTATACCTCAGGAATCTTAAAAGATTTTTGAGTCAGTTATGGAAAGCCCAATCCAGGCTACTTTTTACAGTGTCTGCAGTCAGACAAAATGGCATGATGCATGGAGAACACAAAGAGTTCAGTACATGAATGCATAATGCTGTTATACAAATCAGTTGCACTTTACATCCGATAGACAGCAGTACTGAGCACAATATGTCTCAAGACTGGTACGGTAGTAATATAAGTAGATTTGAGGCAAACGGTGAGGGTGATTAGGGCTATAAAGATTTTTATAGGAGAAGACTGTGAGCTTCAGATTCTGTATGCAGAATATAGTCTGGGAGCTCTTATAATCCATCTCCTGTAAAAAGATTTAAGATTGCATCCAGTACTATCAAACAAAATAAATTCAAAACAGACAAATAAGTTAGTGATTTCTGTTGTGGGTTTTGGGTTTTTTTTTGTTTTTTTTTTTTGTTTGTTTGTTTTAACACAAAACACAATGGCATGAAAGACTTCAAGGTCACAAAGATTAAAATATAAGATGATTTGACACATTCTGCAGAGATTTATATAATGCATATGGACTTTCTTAGAAAAGTCAATAATTTTAAAAAGTTTAAAAAAAAATGGCTGACACAAACAAATACTTTTAATATAATGATTTATTGCATCTTCTTGTGATACATCTTGGCTGGCCAGCTTCAGAAATATTGAAAAAGTGTCAGGATATTGGGCCAAATGAACCATTGGTATTATTTAGAATGGCAGTTTCTCTTCCTATTGCAATCTGAATGAATTTGTTAGATTTTCTCTCTGCTCCATTTGTCAAGAAACAACATGAATGGCAGCTTTGATTTCCCTTCCTGCCCTTAGAAAGTAATTGTGATAGCCGTCTTTCAGAGATTCAAAGGGAGCAAACATTTTGAAGGATTTTTCACTCACAATTCATGCTTATAATCTATGAACAGATCTGGGACTATGGCAGATTTTTCATTGTATTCTGCTGCTTTGTACTTTTCTTGCATTTCAATACTTTGAAAGCTCTGATAAGTGAAAGATGGGACATTTTACAATTGCAGAGACACTCAGCTAGAAATACAGGATCTCATTTATTTTAAAAACACCCATCCCTTGCAAATTATTCTTCTTCCAAGTGCCTCTGTGTGTTAACTGTGGAAAATCTTACCATAATATGATGTAATTCAAAAAGCTTCCATGAAATTTTGCTTAAAAAGATATTCTTTTACTAAGGTTGTCTTCTCCTAGTTACCAAATTTATAGAAAGTCAGGCTCCAAACTGCAAATGGTCTTGACTAGGATATTTGATTATAGGACCGCTGTCTGAATTTTGTAGCTACATTTTTTTCTCCACAAAGGACTAAAATCCTAAGTCCCTTTTGTATGAGTTGATAAGTTAGTAGGACATGTCTGTGATTAAAACTGCTAATAGTCAGAATTTCTGTTCTAAGAGAATATATAAGATAAAAAAAATGCCACTCAGTATCAGAATTAAAAGAATAAAAACTGTTTTACTTTCCAGAAATAGAAATAAAATTAATTGCTAAGAAGTAATTGGAATCTGATTGAAACAGAAGCTATTTAGGGTATAAAGAGACGTTTGGTGATTATCTTGTCCAGGTTCCTACTGAAAGCAGATCAACTTAGAAGTGGTTATTCAGGCCTTTGTTCTATCTCCACTATTTGTTGGTTATCACAACAGTTAATTTTTTTCATGATGTATTGAGTAGGAATTTCCTGTATCCCAGCTGGTACCTGTTGCTTCTTTTGCTTTTTACCTGAGCAGAAGCTCTTTTACTCAGCACCACCACTGCCTCTGAGTCCTGTCTCTGAACTCATTCTGTCCACCAACCCTACTGGCAGGTGGCTCTCATCCAAATCCTCACCTCCTACAGCCACCTCCAAACATGTGGGTCTCTACCAGGTGTGCTAGCACATGCTAACCATCATTGTTAGTCAGTGTTTTCCTCGCAACTGGCCTTTAGGGATACTATAAACCCTTTTGCTGCACCCAGTACCACCAATCCAGTCCTAAGTATGGTGCAAAGAGCATGGCTTTGCTGTCTTTCTCACCCTACTTGTTCTAAGGATGTTGTGGAAGACCATGTCATAGGCTGCATTCAGTCAAGATAAAAAAAAACAACGCTACTCATTCCTTGTTCACTAAACCAATCTTGTCTTTGTAGCTCGTAGGGCCAAATAAGTCCTGGCCTTGGCAAATCTGTTCTGGCTATTCTCAGGCACCTTATGTTTTTTGTTTTTTTTTTGCTCATCTTGAAGGTGGATGTGATATTTATCTTTTCCAGAAATCTTAGTTTTGGAACCCCACAATACATTCTATGTCACCGTGAAGTCCTCCCACTTGACTTATGTAGGATCAAACCACAGATGCTGAGATCTCCCACAATGTGTCTACTTGATATAATTGAAATCTTCCATAGCAAAGCATATATAGTTTTTAATACAAGAAATTACAAGTTTACAGTCTGCCTACTGGTTGTTAGATAGCAAAGACTTTGAGCTGTATTGTTCAATGGCCACTCAGTCAGAAATTCAACATCTCTTTTCTGTTTTTCCCCTTGTTTGTCCTACAGTACTCTCTTCTGGGATTAAATTTCTAGTAAACTAGGAGAAGCTGTGCAAAGCGAAGGACAGTTAATTTAAGGTTACTTGAAAGCTCTCTTAAAAATAGTTGTTAAAATGTAACATGGAAGTGCTGTCTTAAGAGACAAATCACAGGGGATTGTAAAATATGATATGTCTTTGAGCGCTATGATAAACGGACTGTACAGTTTTGTTACAGTGCAAATTTTTGTGGTGATAAATCTACTTGAGACTGCTATGCTCTAAGGAGGAAAAGAAGCTGAAGGTAGGTTCAGTCTAGCAAAGCTGGAGGAGCTGCACGTACCTAAAAGGCATTACAGCCTAAAATAGAGGCCAAGTGATTGGTATGTCTCACAAGTACACACTCGAGCACAACAGTAGACACAAAGTGCAACAAAATTAAATTCTTTGAGAGCATATCAGGAAAATTTGATTGGTGAGATGTCAGTAAATTGTGGGAAAACTCCCATGTGAATGTGACAGTCTATTGACTGGGACTGTGAAAATTGCTTTAACTAAAATATGAATAAATGTTATCAGTGCTCTATGAGCAGAGAAAGGGAATGCTTTTATGAGAATTTACCTTTCTAGAATCTATGTGTTGTAACAGAACTCTGTAGAGTTCTGTTGAAATCCCTGAGGAAAAGTTGCCACTGATTTCAATCGTTGCAGATCGTGACCTTGGTGCTAATAGAAACCATGTTTCTTGGTCATTTGTCTAGGAGCAAACATGACAGTGCACACGGAATGGATATACCAGTGCAAACACCACAGACAAATAGGTATCCAGTTCTCCTTTATTTGTGTACAGCGAGTACAGAGATATGACTGTAGGTTTATAGGCAGAGTTAACTAATTTTACTGAGATGGGGGAGATTTGTACTGCTCCACCCAGTTGGATACTATAGATTTGTGTAGTTTTTCATTCCTATCAAAAAGTTGTGTTTTATATTTGAAAATACATGTAATGTAATTTGATTTTCTTCAGGTTTATTTTTTAATTTCTGTCTTGCAGATATATCACTTATGGAGGCCTCACGTGTGTATGGAACTAATCTCATTCTTGCACAGATTGTTGCCCTTCTGCTGAAGAGGTTTCACCACATTAGGCGAGACTGGAGAGGAACTCTATCAAATGTGCTTCTTCCAGTCCTTTTTGTTGCACTGGCAATGGCCTTGTTTAGTGTGAAGCCTCCGGCTGTTGATTATCCTTCTCTCAAGCTGACACCAAGACTTTACAAGAATGCAGAATCCTTCTTTAGGTAAAGAACTCATTGATCATCAATATCCAGGCTTCTGGAACCTTTATCCTTGAGTTCCCATATTTTTATGGGTATTTGTATTCTTCAAATAATGATGAATTCATTTGTGTTTTTTGTTTGTTTGTTAGTTTTACAATAGCTGTTTATTTTTCAGTTCTTTATTACATTTTTTAGATTATTATGAGGGGGACTTATGAGAGAAACAAAAAAGTAGAAGGGCATTATATGAAGTATTTGCTGGTGGAAAGACACAGACTTTGGAGTAGTTTGCGTTCAGTACAGATCATGACCGCATATATGTAAATGTTTAAGTGCATTTTAAAAAGTCTTTGCATGCTTCAGCGTACTTAATTGATTAGATCAGTATTTTTCTGAAAAAGTTCTCAGGTTAGACAGTACCACACAGTACTAAGGAAGTTTGTGCCCTTCTAGCTGAACCTCTAGTTTTTGTATTTTTAGCTTTGAAGCCATCTAAAGTATTATTTCTCTACAATATCTATAGCTTATAGTAGACTTACTCTGTATTACCTGTAAATCAGACAGAGTTTTATCTATTGGACAAATATCCAGATATATTAATAAGATAATATGATGATATTGAATTTATAAATGAAACACAAAACACTTATAACACGTCTGTAATGAGAAGAATGCTTGTGGGGAGAAGTTTAGATTTGTTTAGGGGTAATTGCATTGAATTTTCTTTACAAGTTCAGATGTAGGTTTTGAAATTTCTTGTTTTGTATGTTTCTTATGCAGAGATTTGTTAGTTCTTTCATTTTGTAGAAAACATGTAGAACTGTGAAGTTGAAAGTTACTAGAATTAGACAAATTAACATGTTTGTGTTTCTTTCCTCAATCCACCCCTTTACCATTTGGTCCACTTTGAACAGCTCTGGAGATGATAATCTAAGAAACCTTTCTGAGATTCTACTGAGATATTTCTTTGACTGGGACTTCACATGCATGCATTTGAAACAAGGGTAACTGAATAATGTAACTACTTTAACATGTTCTATATTGATTTAACACTTGCTGCTAACTTGAAATGGAGATGCAGATAGTAGTGAGGAAATCAATAAATCTAGCATAATTATATTTTCTTTGAAATTTTAACAGAAAAAATTAATTAGCCTTATGTTGGATCTAGGAAAAAATTTGCTGATTGCATATAGCTAAACAAAAGAGAAAATAGAAGCATAGATAAAAACAAAAGATGTAAAGAAGCAGTGAATTTATTATTTTTTTCTTTTTAGTGTGAACTGTCTCAGCCTTCTCTCAGCAGTCATAGAATAGTGTAGCTTGGAAAGCTTGGAATGGACCTTAAAGGTCATCTAGTTCCAACTCCCTGCCATGGGCAGGGCTGCCACCCACCAGCTCAGGCTGCCCAGGGTCCCAACCAATCTGGCCCATCCCCTCCAGGGATGGGATACCCACAGCTTCTCTGGGCAGCCTGTGCCAGTGCCTCGCTACACTCTGAGTAAAGAATTTCCTAGCATCTAACCTAAATCTCCGCTCTTATAGTTTAAAGCCATTACCCCTTGTTCTGTCACTCAGACTGTGTAAAATGTCACCTTTGTTGTTAGCTTCCTCAGTACTAGAAGGTTGATGAGGTATCCCTGGAGCCTTTTCTTCAACAAAAATCTCAGCTTGGAGGTCCATCTCTCTCAGTCTTTCTTCATTGTGCTCCAGCCCTCTGAATGTGATGCTGTTAAATCTGCTTTGACTAAGGAGCTAGTATCCAGATAGAATATGTGTAAACAGGCTTAATTGTTAAAGGTCTGATTCAAATCCCTTAGATGTCAGTGACAGATTTCTCATTAATTTCAGGAGGATTTTGAATAAGTCTCTTGACTTGTATGAATGTGGGTTAGACAATAATTATTATGGTGTTAGGAAGAGTTCCAGATGTTCTGCATTCCTAACTTTAGACAGTAACTATTCTTTACTTACCTTACTGATGCAAACACAAAGCATGCAAATTCTTTGTTGCTTTACTTACATAAATATTTGTTGTGAATCCCCTTTGAACTCAAATAAACAAAACCTGATATTCAGCTGCTGCTATGGTAAAATACTAGGAAGGTTCTCAAGATACTAGATTTAGTTATTTCCAAGTTTCTTCTATAATATATTACTTTCTCTTGATGGTTGTTTATACAATTATGTTTATTCCCATTAGAAAAAATAATTCATGCTGGCAGGTGGAATCAGATTCACTCCTGAATTCATGTGGATGCATGTCTGAAAAGGAGGTATGTATATCTCTGTGTATGTATTTATGTAAAAAAATTTTGTGTGTTATATGCAGTACCTGAACTGTTCTTTTTGAAGGGGCAGGGGAATAGCTGAGGAGGTAAAATCTTAGAATGCTGACCTTTTTTTTCCTGACCAGATATTGCTTTATCTCATCTAGTATTTGGCTTATGTATTCTGAGGTATTCAGAGAAAAAGCCTGCACATTTTTGTTACGTATCTAAGTGCGTGTATTTGTGTATAGTAGAAATGTCAGTAGATTGAAATAGCAGGAATCAAAGATAGGTGAACTCTTCTCAGCAGATGCGACTTGGCTTCAAACATGATATAAGACTTTGCTTACAAAATAGTCATGCAGAATAAAGTTAAAACATTACACTTGATTCCCTGAAAAACTACCTGCTCTAAAATGGAAAGGGCAGGTTTTTCTAGCTGTTAGAAGCTACCAGGGAATCTGTGATTGACTAGCATTTAATTGTTAGAGTTTATTTTTGTTTTGAACTGTATATGTGAAAATAAAATAGCTTTTCAAGGGAAGAATTTTGGAAAAGTTAATGAATTTCTAATCTTTTTCACTAGTGACTTTTCCAGTTGAATTGTTCTGATACTGAGAAATAAACTGGGATGTGAAACTGTGTATGCACTAAGTTATTTGCCTTGATGGGACCATTTCATCAATTATTTACATCCTTATGAAGGAGATAAATTTATTGGAGTGAGAGTTGCATCTGATATTTTAGGAAAATTGAAAGGGGGAACTAATTTTTGACTTCACAGGGCAAGGAGCACCTTTTCCTCTAATACTGTAGAACGATACTGAGAATAAAACAAGCTTAAATAAAAAGGTGGGGACTCAGTGTCAGGGAGAGACCCACTAACTGGAACTTCAAAGGTAGTTTGTCAGTGGAGGCAGAAATTTTACCTGGAGCTATGGAAAGCTAGAATATCTGGTACTGATTTATAACCATGTAGGGTCAAGATGTCAAATAAGCATGGCAAATTTTCAGATTTTATGTATTATATACTTTATGAGATTGCTCAAGTATCACATCATGATAACTGTGAGAATATCCAACTGAATTGCTAGAAAACACCTTCCTTTTTTTCCCCCACTACTATCCCTCAGTGCATGAATCAGAATTTTTGTTTTCATCCTATATTCTATTTGTGCCTTTAGTGTTTATTTTCAGGCACAAAAGTGAATAGAAATCTTGTTGTCTTTTTCATTGCTGTAATCCTGTCTAAATTTATATTTAAGTTTTGATGTTTTCAAAACAAAACTGACTGACAGGGTTGCAAGGGAAATCAAAGGTGGTACTCATATGTAGGTGACAGTTACAATTATTTGAGATGCTTTATAAAAATGAAACCATATATAATTTATTCAAAAGTTATTGAAGCTAAAAAAAGTTAAACTCAGTTGACAAGCAATGCTGCAAAAACTGTGTGCAAATTTGAAAAAAAAGGCTAAATTTAGTGATGCTGATTTTTAAATGATTTTTTAAAGGCCATTTGAGTTATTTTCTGTATACTGTTTTCCAGATGTGTCCAAGTTTCAATACCTCTGTTCCCTATGTGAAAAATAAGAGAGGACATATTTTATACAATCTCTCAGGGTTGATTGTGGAAGAATATTTAGTGAGGCCTTCCAACAAAGAAAGGTAACCTAATTCTAAAATGACAAAGCAGTTTATCCTTTGTGTATTAAAAAAAAAAAACAACAACAATAGTAATTCTTTCTGATCCAAAGCACAGGCCTGTGTAAGGGGGCAGTTGTCTTTATCTATTGTTTTTTGTTAAGGTGATTAGCCTTGTATAAAGGTAACATGGAACTCCCTGTATAGCAGTTTCTCCGAGATTCCTCCAGCAGTTGTCACTGGCTCTTTCCACACAGTAATTTCAGTTGAAAAATAATGTGCTAATTTAAATATTACCACTTAATCATTGCAAAAAATGACTGCTAAGGAAGATGGAGTTTAAGCTAGGTAACTTTCTATCACCTTTTTGTCTGTTACCAGATATGGTGGTTGGTCTTTTGGTGGAAAGAAAGCTTCTGAATATCAAGAACAAAAATGGAATAATATGAAATATAAGCCTCTGGTTAAGGTAAGGATTGCACATGTGCACACAGATATGCATTTCTTGCTTCTTCAGGGTCCAGACTTCACTGCACTTGGCAAATAATAAATCATTATATAAAATTCTTGTATTAATAAATTGGTCTCTGTCTGTAATTCTTGAAAATTTCCCATGTTCTGAAAAGTGGTTTTAAATGAGTCAAATGATCAGCCTTCTGTTGTTTATCCCATGAACCTATTTCAGAGTCTAACTGAGCTCATCTTTAAAACTATTTTTTTAGGTAGCAAGTGCAAATATCATTTTATATTCATTTGTACTCTGTAAAGTCAATGTCTGTCTGAACCCTTCTTTATTTTTGGCTTAAAGCTTGCTTTCCAAGGCATTTCTTGCAATAAGGCTCTGTCTTATTCAGGAGGCAAGTGGTGGATGTTGCTGTGTGGCAGTCAACATCACTCTGTGGACAACTTTACATTTGAAAGCATTTCTTTGAAACTGTGTTCTGAACAGAGTGTTCAGAAGAACTTACTAGCAGAAGCTCTGGCCTATGACCAAATAACTCTAGTTTGGTTTGGGAGACTGGGGAATGATATCATCGTATCCTGTGAAAAACAGGATGCAGGTAGGCCCTCCCTGCTCCTTCTCATCTGCTGGCAAGACCTGGAAGTTGGGAACAAAGGAGTTTCTGCTGACCCCAAAGCCAGAAGCTGCCACTCCAGAGAGAGCTGACTCAATGATTTTGGATTTGAGCTGTCACTCCAAAGAAAGCTGACTCAACCACTGTGGACTTATTTATAACTTGGTACAGTCGTTGTCATCATCCTCAACCAAACAACAACCTCAACACTACTGACGATCAAAATCTAAACTATAAGCAGTGCTGGAATTCTGGTGGTGACTGTCTCTCTCTTGCTTCCTATAAGGACTCATTGCTTTTATTTTCTATCTTTTCTATTGTCCATCTTCCCTTCCCCATATCCCTAAACAACTAGGATTTGTAATAAATTGGTCGTGCTAACTTTTGATCCATTATGTCTTAATCTCTCCATCTGGGTATACATATATTAAAGTATCCTCTCCCTCCTATAAATTGGAGCGAGACAGTGTCTGAATTGGGGAAGAAAGTACCAACTGAATGTCTCAGAAATTTGTTATTGATCTTGTACCATTTTTTCAATAAATATTTTTTTTCTTTGCTACGTTTCTCTCTCTTTTTTCTATCACATTTTTTTTTCCACTCCTACTCTTTGTTTTATAAAAATAAAGATTTAGGTTCTGGGAGGAGTTACTTCTACATAACAAGTGGAAATTAATTTTGCACAACTACCCTGCAACTTCCCATTTTTATCCCAGAGGAACTTGCACCTTGATGAAACTGGTTGAGCTGCGAAATCTGGGTATCCTCTGACAGTGGACTGTACTGTCTTGCAGTTCTGCACAGAGCTACCCTTGAGAGCCCGGAACAGAAAGATTTTTCTAAATGCAGATGAAGTCAGGAGCTTTTTCTGGAGGACTTCTTTCCAGTGTATACTGGAAAGATGTAACGTGGATTGGGATCCAGAGGCTAATGGGGAATTTTCAGAACAAAATATTTTTTTTCCTCTTGGGAATGTTTTGCGAAGTTCTTTTGAGGACCACTCTAATGTAAGATCACTAAGGAGGAGAACAGTTTTGAAGAATCTTAGTAACCTCTTCTCTTTTTATGCAAGGAGATTTCTTATTAGAGGAAGCTGTGAAACTTGACTGTCTGGATTCCAAGTTGGAGTATGAGAGAAAGATCTTTGTCTTGAAAATGTTTTGGTCTTGGCACTAGACGCAATTTTCTCTTACAAATGAAGAATCAAAACAAAAGCTTAATTAAGCTCTATCTCAAATTCCCTTTTGGTACAAAGTGCAGTTAAAACAGTATGTAGTGACTGCAATGCCCTTTCATTGTACTTTTGTTTGAAAATAGCAAATATGAACACTCTGCCTTATAAATATTTTCATGTAGGTCACTTTTACTTCCAGATTTCTTATACCTATGAACTCCAGTTCCATAAATCCTTATTTAGTAATTTGAAGTAAGATGTGTTCTTCTGACTGCTGTTTTCATCCTCTGTATCTTCATAGCTTTAAAACTACTGTTTCGACATGCGAGCACTGTGGTTTTTGTCAGGGTCCTTTATTTATTTATTCATTCATTCATTCATTCATTCATTCATTCATTCATTCATTCATTCA